TAGGGTGGAGGGAACAGAGAAGTGAGATTTCAAAAAAATACTTGTTACACACTTTTGACTTAAGTAATCCCTAAAAACCGAAAAGTAACTGAAATGAACAAAACTAACTTGATGTCAAGTTAATGAGACAAAAATATACAAAAAAGAATTATTCTGAGTTACATTAGAACACAGAATTGACTATCCTTGTTGAAATATATTCTAAGGACAAACAGAGGCGTGACGAAGTCTTAAACTTTATCCAGTAGTCTTTGTTTGTTGCAACACTGGTATTACTCTGAAAGTACTGTGGAATCATGCAAATAAGCAATTTTGTTAATACCATTAGGAACCATTCATAGGCAATATGGGGGCCAAAGAATAAAAAGGCAAAACCAGAGTAAGATGCATTCTACAAAACAACTGACTCAGTTTTGCCAACAAGCTGTTGTTGTTAGCTGTAGTACAGTCAGTCCTCAACTCGTGGTGTCCTCATGCGCAATGGAATCAGACAGTTGCGATTCATTGCATTCTCACTGGCTGATTTTCTGAAGTAGATCACCAGGCCTTTCTTCCTAGTCTGACTTAGTCTGGAAGCTCTGCTGAATCTGTTCAGTATCACAGCAACACATAAGCCTCCACTGACAGACATGTGCTGGCTGTGCTTGAGGAGCACTGGCTGGGAACTGAACCCGAGCCTACTACATGGAAGGCGAAAATTCTAGCACTGAACCACCACTGCCCTCAGCAACAAGACAGCCATGGAAGGAAAACAAAAAACGTGGGGGAGGTAGGAGAAGGGACTGACTCATTTGGATTTTGACCTGATAATCGTTAACTTGTAAGTTTTTCCATGCTTCTAGAAAGCTTTTAAATATATTTTACTCTATACTCTTAGTTGTTTTCAGCAGGAAATTAAGTCTAAAGAGCCAAACATATTACCAAAAAATGGACAATGTAGTACTTTTATCCTTAAATAAGCACAACAAATGTTATCAACTTAAGAAATAAAGGTAAACTGGTCAGGTTTCCAAGCTGCTGATGAATACAGGACAACTGTTCTCTGGCAGGTAATTTGTCATAGCTTTCACACTGCTGATGTAATATATATTTCAGGACATTGTCTTTCACGAAAGAGTATGTTAATTAATTTAATGCTTAGTCTAGAAAGTAACAGTCGCCTAAATAGTTTTAATTCCTGACTTGAAAGTTATCTTTAAAAAAGAATATATTTGAATGTGCCACATTCAGAAATATTGTTTCTGAATAATATTTAAAATAAGTTATAACGAACTTAAGCCTATAAAATTATTTTTCAGAATAATAACATCCTATTACTTTACTTCAACAAAATTTCTAAAAGCATAAAACAAAGACAGATTGCTATAATTCCAATACATTAAAAGGTTCTCCTTTTTTCTTTTTGAGAATTTTAAAATAATCTTGTAATAATAGGAAGTAACCTGGTAGGTCCCCAAACCTGAACTGAGCAACACTATCACTACTGCTATACTGGAATTTTCTATTACATGCAGCAGGATCTAATCCTGATATAGCCTGAACCCAAATTCATTTGAATCCATTAGTTAATGAAGTAACATATCTTTTTTTTTTTTAAAAGAAGTATTGGTAAGTATAATGGAACTAGATAACTACTTCCACACCAATGTAGTGAGGCATACTGAAATTAAAAGCAGAGTTTCTTTTTCCCCCACACAGAAATTTATACATAGTTAGTGACTCTAATTGCTCTCCCCATACTGTGACAGCACACTCCTCCTTTCCACCCCTGATTTCCCATGTCCATTCAACCAGCTCCTAACCCTCTTTGCCCTCCCATCTTACCTCTGGATAGAAGCTGCCCGTTTAGTCTCTTCTATCTACTTGAGCTAAGAGGCACACTCCTCACGAGTATCACTTCATGTCCCACAGTCCAGTCCAATCCCTGTCTGAAGAGTTGGCCTTGGAAATTGTTTTAAAAGTTCTAGGCTGACAGAGTACCCAGGGGCCACACTTTCCGGGTTTCCTCCAGTCTCAGTCAGACCATTAAGTCTGGTCTTCTTACTAGAATTT